AGGTCGCAATCATACAGTCTTGCTCAGGAGTGATGGTACGGTAGTGGCCTGTGGCGACAATTCTGATGGGCAGTGTAATTTGCCAGCCTCAGATGAAGGTCTGTCCTATACACAAATTGCGGCAGGTTTCGAGCACACTGTTCTGCTCCGGAGTAACGGCACGGTTGCAGGTTGCGGCGACAATGGTCATGGACAGTGCAGCCCTCCGATTCTTGACGGAGGTCTGACATACACGCAGGTTGCTGCAGGTGGTTTCCATTCTGTTTTATTGAGGAGTGACGGTGCTGCTGTAGCCTGTGGCGAGCACGTCTACCAGCAGTGTGATCTCCCCCCCGTGGGCGCCAGCCTTGCTTACACACAGATTGCCACGGGAGGTTGGCATACAGTTCTCCTTAGGAGTAATGGCACGGCAGTGGCGTGCGGCTTTGACTTTTCAATCGTTTCGCGAATACCGCCGGCCCATACTGCATCATCGCTGGCACTTGTCTGCATTCTCGCGGTGGGGGGAGAGGTTGGTGGGTTGGTCGTTCTCCTGAGTTGGCGCGTGGACCTCGCTTGAGGGAGAAGTTGCAAGTCAACGCTCAACGGAGCCTGCAGTGCCAATCCGGGGCCTCGTTGCCTGACTGGGCGCGGTTTTGGGCAATGTTGAGCTTTTCTGCGCCGGTTGTGGATTCTTCTGGAGGCGCTCTTGTGCAGCCTTGGGGCCGTCTGAGACTCTATCGAAGCCATGTTGAGCTTCATGATGTTCCAACCTACTTTAGCCTTGGCCACCAGAAAGAATTTCGAGCACCAACAAAGTACCGAAACTCGAGGGTTATCACGTGTCGGGCCCTGGGAGACACTGGTTTCCACACTGTTTCGACACTCTTTGGACACTTTTCCAGATGCTCGATTTTTGTTGGGGGATGTGGTATTTAAGATCGATGGGAGCAACATAAGTTGAGCCGAGACAGCGGATAGACAAGCAATAGTGGAAGCTATGAATGCCGGATCATCCCAGAGTTTTAATGGGGGGCCCAGGATCTGGAAGGTGAGTCCTATCTCAAGGAGGAGCCATGGATGTGGATGGATAAGGGAGACATACATGTGATAGGGGGAGGTTCACGGTGGCGGAGGTAGCATGCGAAGGACAGCACATGTTGGAGCAGGGGGTGGGGGTGCAGGTGGATTGAGGAGTTGGAAAAGTGGGGCTCGAGTGGGCCAGGTACAGTCGCTGCACGGGTATAGAGGACAACATTGAACAGAAAACGTCATCGCCAGAGTTTCACAACCGAGGCCCGCAAGCACGCGAGGGCAGTCGTCGTGGAAAATGTTGGAAGCGTTTGTGTTATATTCATGTTTGAAGGAGCCCCTCCAGGGCTCGTTTCCATTCCTCCGATTCGATTCGATCCGATTTCGAGGGTTTCCGATTCCGATTCGATTCGATTGCGGATTCCGATGTGGGGTCCGATTTCTCAATGGAGGCCTCTTAGCCTGCCGATGTCTGCCGATTCGACTTTTCCCGACACGGCTGCCGATTTCCGTCGATCCGGCTCATGCCGATCGCCATCCGACCTGCCGATTCGATCCTGGGCCTTTGCTGCCCGCCGTACGCTTGGGGTCTCCCGAGAGTCTCTGGACAGCTCCTGGGGTATTCTAGGACGCCTCTCAGGGGCCCTCGGGCCTTTCTTGGGGGGCTGTCGGGGATCGCCTTGGGAGGCCTCGGGGTGATCTTGGGGCCTCTTGGACTTGATTCGGGGTGCCATGTTGGAGCCCCCTATGGCCATTCGATCTTCGCTCCTGGGCCGGTCTTGGAACCCCCACTTTGGCGTTTCTGGGGAGCTCTTACCGGTCTTCGGGGCCTTCTTGGAACGCTTGTTGTTTCCAATTGGAGCCATCTTGGGCGATGTTTGACCTACTTGGCGGCCCCAGTCGGAAATTCTAAAAGAACTTGAGCTCAAATGTGTGTTGAATGGTTTGGTATATTGGAGGTCTGCTGACGGCCTCTGGAGGTCTCTTGATGACCCTGCGGCCATCCTGGAGCCTTTTCGGGCTGCTTTGGGGGCCCTTCTGGGGCCTGCCAGCCACTGATCCCATGCTCATGGGCTGCTCTTGGGACTCTCTTGGGGCCCTCGCTGAGGCCTCTTGGGGCGCTGAAGTCAGGACCGCTTTCGGTTCGGAAGGGGCTCGCTATTCCTTAGGCCATTCCGTGGTTGTTCCTGTAGCCCTCCTCGTGCACCCAGGCGCTTCTGGTGCCAAACAGGGGCTCCGTCTCTATGTTTAGCGTTCCTTACAGCAGTTTGACTGTCGTGTGTTGTTGGAAGTCTTCGAACCCCCCCCGAGCCCTTCTGGGCTCTACATGGAGCCATTGTGGGAGATCTCGGAGCCATTTTGAGGCCCCAGGAGCTAATCATGAGCGATACGAAGAGAAAGCCAATATGTGTTGTGTTGATATTTGGATATGCGAGTTTGAATATGTGTTGTGCCTTGGGGGTCTTTCGGATACCGCTTGAGGGCTGTTTTGGACTGGCTAATGCCACCCTGGGGCCATGTTGAGGCCCCTTGGGGCTGTTTCGGCGCAATTGGGCTTCCAACCGATCTTGGGCCCCCTCTTGGGGCTCTCTTGGAAAGCTCCGTCCGGGTGTTTTTTTTTTTTGATTTTCTCGGAACCTCATTGAAGCCCTTCCATGTTTCACTCGGAGCAATTTTGGACGAGCTTGGATCCATCTAGAAGTCCTGAGAAGCGCATTGGAAGCGAAACGTCGAGAAAGACGTCATCCGTTTGATACATATATACGAATATGAAGGTGTAGTTTGCTTCGAGCTATCCCCACCGACACTTTCGGCGTTTGCTCACGAGTCTTGTACTGTTTGTTACTGTGGCCAGCCTGAGCTCGGCGCGCATATCGCGTTTGATATGACGCCGTTGCTCGGCCGATGCTGCATTATGATATGTCACGTTCTGTTCGGTCATGTTCTGTTCTATTCACATATGCTTTGGTCTGCTCTACGGTCTACGAGGCGGCGTGACGTCGTGACGCCTGTCCCGCTTGCTTTTTAGTTTTATCGATCGTGGCACCGCCTTTTGTTCCCGTGGCCAGCCTTCAGTCGGCTCGCATGTGGCTTTGGATGTGGCGCCGCTAATCGGTCCCTATTGCATGCGTCGATCTTCAACTATGGTGGCATCAAGTATGGCCTACTCTAGCATACGGTAGGTTCGTGCGGCGTTGGCGCGCCGGCGACGCGGGCGAAGGCGTTCAAGGTTGCATTCTGCGACGCGGAAGCACCGAGGGACGCGCTGACGCCACTGGGCCCGATGCAATACAACCTTAAAGGATCGGGGCCGCGATCGGTTCAAGGTGGAAGGATCGACGCGGTGTCAAAAAACCTGTGCGCGCGCCGACGCTTCACGAACCTACCTCAGGAGGGAAAAAAACACAGACACAATTAATCGTCGACTCCCAAGAAAATATGGGAATTGGGCGGGAAGAAAAAATCTCAGAAAATATGGAAAAATGGGAATCATTTTATTTGTGTGTATTTAACCGCATGCCGATGATAATAAAGGGACCCCCCCCCTTCAGTGTTTAGAGTTGATTATCGTCGCCCTATACAAAATTCAAATTGGGCGGCGAGCGCTGAGGCCGAACTTCATTATCACCTCGAAACTTGGAACTTTGGATTTTTCCTTTCTTCGTCCTCTTCTTATCATCCTCTTCTTCTTCTTTTTTCTTATTATTCTTCTACTGTATTCTTCTTCTTTTATATTTCTCTCTGTCCCCACGCTCGCCTGAACTTTTTTATCTCTGGGGTTGATTATCCATGGAAATTGAGGCACATGAGCTACCCTACACGAGCACTCACAAACAACAATTTTCATGAGAGATAAGCCATTGTTGAGGATATTTCTATGAAAACTAAACGCCAAGGATGTCTCAAAACGTGCTCGGCTTGGTCTCCTCTTGATCATCTCTTACTTCGAGATTATGCTGAGGTCTGCTGGGCTACTTTTATTATCTCTCCCTGAACCCCGAACTTTATTATCCCCTAGTGTTTATTCTCACGGGCATGAGGTTATTTGTGTGTCCTTGGGCCCCTTGACTACCGTACTCTGTTATATCATGTTCTGTTTTGCACTGGCCGAAGTGACGTCGGGAAGACTGTCACGTTTGGTACGTCGTCCAATCGGTCGTTGTTGCGCCACTTTGTTTCTGTAGTCAGCCGGGCCTCGGCGCGCACGTTGCGTTTGATAGGACGCCGTGAATTAGTCATTGATGTTCCCTTGTTGGTTACAGTCAGCAATGTTCGATTCTGGATTGCTGAATAATGTTGTAGTACGTTAAGGTTTGAGACGATTTTTATGTGATATTGTATGGCACTCGGTCTGTCTACGTGGAGTTTTATACCATACCAGACTCAATCATGTAATGGCACGTTCGGTCGCAATAGACCGGTGCTGTTGCATCATGGAGTCGTATGGCTGGACAACTATCCCCATTCCTATTCTGAACACAGTGTGCCATGACAAAAAATGGTACTGCACTCATAGTGACACTAATTTCAATGTATATTTTAATATGTTGGCCGTGTAGTCGTTATTTTGAGTGTGGACTCCGGTTATGTTCGCATTCACATTTCTATTAGCAATTCTTCTGAGGTCGCAGTCTATTACAGGTTGCGCTACGCATGTTTAATTGTGAATTTCAATTGGCAGTTTGAGTCATTCATGTTATCAGGGCTGGTCTCTCTTCCACTGTTTCAAAGCATATATACTGTATGTGTAAGTGACTCTATTCTCGGATGTGTTACAGTAGCGACGGTCGTAGCTGCAATATATCATGTTAAGAGTGGATGTTGTGTTCTATGATTAATCACCTGTATTGAATTTCCCATGTGTTTATTATAGTATTTGACGTAGTGGCAGCCGTGTTGAATCAATTATCAATTATCCAGTGTTCTGTCTGTTGTGTTATGTTGTTCTCTGGCAAGCCCCATTCTGTCACAGTGTCATGTTCCATGTGATGGTGAGCTAAGCTACACGATGCTATATTATTGTATGATATATTCTGCACTGTTGTGTCATGGCATGAAGTGTCAGTTCTTGAGGTGTGGGGTGTTAATGTTTGCAACTTTGTTTCTCTGTTCTTAGGGTCTATGTTATGATGTTATCCCTAGCCACGTAGTTCTTAACATTGCATGCTCTATTGTTGGTGGTGCAGTATTTCCAGCCGTAGTAGCACCCGTGTGTTATGTCATGTCTCGTATGGCACAGTACGGTAGGTTCCGTTGTTTCATGGTGTGTTCCGTTATGTTAAGTATGTGTTGGGCGATGGGGTGTTATGGTATGCGATAAGATATATAGTATTATGTGATGTTATGTTTTGTTATTGCATATCATGATGTGTTGTATTGGGGCACTCCCATTATGCTATATTCCGCTTTGTTTCAATATGTAATGTCTTGGTTTGTCATAGTACGCGTGTTTTGTTGTATGTGTTTGTTGTCGCTGTGTGTTCTGGATGCCGATTCTTCATGCCTCTTCGTTCATGCGCCGTGACGCCTGGACGGCGTGACGTCGTGACGCCTCCACCTCGGGGCTGCCTCGTATGCAGAGTTTTGTCGTTCGTCGAGGCCGCGAGGCGGAACACTCAGGGACTCCCCGGATCTTGTGGGGTCGGGCGACCGCGGTACAGTACCGTTTTTTATACATGCTCCGCGTGCGGATCATGCATTCAAAATGCAGGGATTTAGTATAAAACAACGATGAGTTCATGCATAAATGTATTCATATATTAGTCATGTATTAAACATCCTATATTAAAAAAATCCTATGTATTAAAAATTGCCCTGTATGGTGTCGTCGTTCGTCGAGGACGCGAGGCGGGACTCTCCGGGATTCCCGGGATGTGTCTGGGGATTTGGCGACCACGGTGTGCAGGGTGGGCAGACAGGAGTTTTGTTTTAGAATTTATTGCCCAAAGCCTGTCGGGTGGGGGACAATTTACCAATTCACGGTACGTTCGCGCGGCGGATTGGCGCGCAGGCGACGCCGGCGAAGGCGTCAAGGTTGAATTCTGCGATGCGGAAGTACCGATGTACACGTTAATGCCGTTGGACCCGACTGAATTCAATCTTGAACGATCGGGGCCGCGATCGATTCAAGGTTGGACGATTGACGCGGTGTAAAAAAAACCTTTGCGCGCGCCGACGCCGCACGAACCTACCGTATGTGTTTGAATGATGGTGATCCTATATATATATATATATATGTTGCGGCTGTTTCGGGGCCCTCATGGCGACAGTTACCCACTGATCTCCGCCCTTGGGTTGCTCTGGGGCGCTCTCGGAGCTCCCGTGGATCGTCCTGAAAGCCGCCCGCAGGAACAACACGTTATCTTGTCAGCAAGACGCCGGGGCATTTGTCCTCAAAGGGTCCCAGAAGGCCGCCCCGCGCGCGAGCCAGTACACGAGCAGACCCTGAACCTCTTGACGTGAGAGTCCAGCACGCCTTGGGCCTGCTGTGCCGCCGGATTTTGGACAGTGTGCGCTGCCAGCTCTGCACGGAGGTCAGACCTACACAAGAGTTGCTGCAGGACGCAGCCACACAATTCTTCTTAGGAGCGACGGTACAGCTGTGGCCTGTGGCGACAATTCCGATGGGCAGTGCGGCCTTCCGTGTCTGAATGGGAATTTGCGCTACGCCATTGTGCCTTCGTGCTTGCTGCCGAAGTTGGTCTTGCAGGCATCGTATGAAGGCGATACGTTACGATTTGTGAGTTTGGTTGGGGATGAGCTTTTCCGGATCAGGGCAGCACCCACAGACAGATTGATGCCAATTGTCCATCACATAACGGATAGTGTTGCAGGCAGGGCCCGCTCGACGTTCTCAAACATCGACGTCGTTTTGCCGCACGGCGGGCTGCTCAGCGGGGAGTGCGCAGAGGCGACCACTGCGAGCGTCTTCTCGGAACAGGAGTGGCATGACTGACTGCGCGAAAGGCAAGGCGAGGCAGTCGATGCAGCTCTCCTCTCTGCAGGCCGTGCAGCTTCGTTCAGCGCTCGTCGAAGGCACTGCTCGTCGCCGGGATCTGCCAGACAGCTGCTTGCCCATCGCCGTGCGCTGGCGGGCGCGAGCGTTGCAGGCGCCTTCTTCTAGCGGCAGCCGGCCGGCGGATCGCCGCAGACGGCAGGTCGGCGCAGTGTTCTTCTCTCTATCGCTGTCTCTTTCGCCTGTCTGAGGTGATCAAGCCGTGGCGAAGCGTCCTGGCTTGCATATAGGCTCACCTAGGAAAATTCTGAGAACTTCCTGTGGCTTGCACGGGATGTTCTCAGAACAGTTCTGGCCGAGAGTGTATTGTTCTAACGTGTCGCGTTGCCCTTAGACCATTGCTTCTGTTCTTAGAACACTTCTGGGTTCGAAGAACATGTCGTGGTAGGCCTATAGGAATGCTGGAACGGTCGCTTTCTCTCGCCTGTCTGAGGTGAGGTGGACAGGCGTGCAGGCATGCGAACGAAAGGCCTGGAGAAGGCGAGGAGGAGGCGGAGGGAGGGAGACGATAAGGGGCGAAGTGAGCAGATATGAGGAGGATGACGGGGGCGGAGGGCGACGGGGGAGGAGTAGGGACGATGGAGGCGAGAGGAGGGAGGACATCAGGAGGGGGTGGAGGAGGAGGAGGAGGGAGTAGGGAAAAAGGAGGGAGGAGGAAGCAGAGAGGTGTGAAGGAGGAAAGAGGGATAGAGAGAGAGACAGAGAGAGAGAGAGAGAACAGAGCACTCCACAACGGAAACACATAGTAAACATTGGAGATGTCTCTATACACATACCTATACGACCACCCTTCAGGTGATAAGGAGGTTGTGGGGGATGGGGGGAGGGGGGGGAACCAACATCTGACTCAATCGATCTCACTATCGATCTCACGTTTTGGGACACCACGGGACACTTGTTGATCTCACTATCGATCTCATTCAACGGGATACCACAGGAAACCACGAGACACCACGGGACATTGCGGGACACCTCTCGATCTCATTATCGAATTCATTATCGATCTCATTCAACGGGACACCATAGGGCACCACGGGACACCTCGGGACACCACATCGACCTCAGTATCGATCTCATTATCGATCTCACTCAACGGGACACCACGGGGTACCACATCGATCTCACACTATCGATCGCATTATCGATCTCACTTTTGGGGACACCACGGGACACCTCGGGACACCTCGGGGCACCACGTCGATCTCGGTATCGAGTTCACTATCGATCTCACTCAACGCGACACCACAGGACACCTGCGGATACGATCGATCTCACTATCGACCTCACTTTGTGGGACACCACGGGACACCCCGGGGCACCACGTCGATCTCATTATCCATCTCAGTATCGATCTTACTCAACGGGACACCACGGGAAACCATGGGACACCACGGGAAACCGCGGGACACCGCGAGCCACCGCCAGACGGACGGTCGGACGGGCGGGCCGGGGAGAATCATTTGTCTTGAGTTCGCCCTAGCAACGGCGGACACCACGGGACACCGCGGGACAATGCGGGCCATCGCCGGACGGGTGGGAGGGGGAGAATCATTTGTCTGGACTTCGCCCTAGCAACGGCGGACACCACGGGACACCGCGGGACAATGCGGGCCATCGCTGGACGGGCGGGAGGGGGAGAATCATTTGTCTTGATTTCGCCCTAGCAACGGCGGACACCACGGGACACCACGGGCCAACGCCGGACGGGCGGGAGGGGGAGAATCATTTGTCTTGACTTCGCCCTAGCAACGTCGGGTTCATTCCTCTCGCGCGCCCACGCAGCTTTGCCTCGCCCGCACGCACGACACGAACGAAACGAAACGATTTTCCGTTTGGGGGTCTCCGTTCCACTGCCATCTCACCCCCCAACCTCGAATAGATAGAGAGAGGTGGGCACTCGCGATAATAACGCCGCAAAGTCATTGTTTAGGCGCGTGCGGAGATTAGTTCATACGTTGCATTCGTTCGTGGAGTGGCAGATACTGTTTTGAAGTGGCAGGTAACAACCGGCCCGCGTCACTGACATGAAGCCAGAGAAGCGCAGCCGATCGCTCGAAGCATCGAGTGACACCATACTTTTCGGGAGTCCATCTGGGAACTCCGTGAAACATCGCACGTTCTTATGGCTACTGGTACATCACACGTGCTGATGGCCAGCAGTGGCCTTGATGGAACACCACACGTTCTTCTGGCCACCGGTAGCCCTAAGAACGTGTGTTGTTCCATGTGGCCACCGGTAGCCATCAGAACATGTGATGTGTTGTTTGTGGCCACCGCCGGTAGCCACAAGAACGTGTGATGTTTTTTTTATGTCCACTGCTATAGCCATGAGAACGCGAGATGCTCCCTGGAAGCATCGAGTGACACCCAACTCTTCGTCGGTGACCACATGCGAGCCCTGCCCCCGCCCCGCCCCCGCACCATTTCGAAGGGGGGGTGGAGGTCCATGTCGCTCGGGAACTCCTTAGCGCAGTAAACCCCCACCCCGGGAAACCTTCGTAGGGGACCACGTTCTTGAGATACTCGTGGGGCGTCAAACGTCGGGGTAGCGGAGAGCCACATCGGGGGAGGGGTACGTCGGGGGGGTCGTCGTCGCCAGGAAGGGGGTCGTCGTCGTTGTTTCTTCTGTTCCGGCATGGAATACAGTGTTCCTAAATTTCGTCGATGGCTCACGGACTCGGACTCCTTCGCATCGGCACGATTCGCACTAGGTTGGAACCGTCGGATGGCCAGTGTCTTAAAGTGAAGGCTAGCGGACTCGGTCGGAAGCCACAGGATCGGAATAAAGAACAGCGAGCCTGGGCTACGTCGGAGTTATCGATATCTCGGACGGTTTCCAGGACGGACTCTCGGAAACATGAGGCCTCGAAGATGTTCCTGGAGACGTCCCAGCACTCAATGTAAAACACTTGTACGCAGAACGGCCTTCCCCAGCTCGAGAAGCCAAGGATGTAGACGACAGCCTTGGGGGGCTCTGTGGGGAGGCCTAGCATACTCCTGAAAGCCATCTCCACGATGGCTCCGACCAATCGTGGACCCACGTCGCCATTCAGGAGGTAGGACGCGAAACGTATGTCGTGCCCACTTCGCAGGAGACGCCGAGCGCATCTCATCTGCCAGCCGCGTCAGCCCTGACATCAGAAGAACTACGACTACATTATTCCAGAATGCGGGGCATCTGCAAGCTCTGGTCCCCTCCGGTTGTCTACTGATGAAGCCAGAAAGGAACGAAGAAGTATAACTCAGGTGTGCTCTGAAATGTCTGTGAAACCGTTGAGACCATAGCCACGAACGAATCTCGGCGTCAACTTCACCCTGGGTCAAGCCTGAATTCTCGCGGAGTGCATGCATCACAAAAGGGTGCGGCCGGCTGTGGTCGCGCCGGGCCGTGCGGGAGGAAGAGGGATCGGGAGCTTGCTGGGCTCCAGCTCCTGTGTCCCTTACGTGAGCCAAACCACATCACCCATGTCCGAGGTCAGGGCTGGACCTACACGGTGTTTTTGATGATTCCGTGGGCCGTTTTCGTTTCGACTTCGTTCTGCGGTGGAGGTGGATTGAAGACAAAAGCGAGGGAAAACGAAAACATAACGGAAACGAAAAGCACCGTTTAGGTTCAGCCCTGTCCGAGGCCTCCATCCTCGCAGGCCTAGAGGTTGACACCAACACCAAGATCGGCGGTGTCCTCCACCGAGGGAAGAAATCTCGATCTCGGTGATGGTGGTATTATTCTGGCTTCCAAGGTGACCGAAATATTGCCACCGACACCGAATTCAAGGATCGTCTCCACCCTGTGGAGGCAACCCCTTGTGTTGGTGTTGGTGCCCATTTCTAGGCCTCCAACGCGGGTCGCTCCTGCTGCTGCTGCTGCTTTCGAGGCCGGGGCCGTCGTCGGGTGCTGCCGCGCTGCCTTTCCAGGCATGCGGAGGTTGGCCGCCGCTAGGTGCCATGGAGGTGTCTTCTCGTCGCGCGCGCGATCAGCTCTGCTCTGCTCTGTGCTCCAGGTGCCAGGAGGCTTTGCATCGCTCGGACGTGTGCATCTTTCCTCCGGCGAGGACCATCGAGGAGCATCCTTGATCATTTGGCGAAAAAAACACGCACGAAACCGAAACAAAACACAGGAAATGGACGTCCGAGCGATGGCCAGTGTGTCTGCTCGTCGCGTGCGATCAGCTCAGCTCTGCTGCTCTGTGCTCCACTTGCTAGGAGGTTCAATGGGTTCTGGGCCATGGTGTCTCATCGGTACTACAGTCGGGGCGCAAAAGAAGAAACTCTTTTCGTTGCGGAGGGGCTCGGTGTTCCTTGATTGTTGTAAAGGTTGCTTTGGGTTTTCCTTTCGTTTTCCATGGGAAATCAAAACTTAACTTATGGGAACAAGGGGCCTCGTCCCTTATTTAGGGTTCCTCAGGTCAACGCCCCGACTGTAGTCTGGCATCATCTGGTGAAGCCTCGCATACACACAGCTGGGCCCGGCTCAATCCGGCTCGATTGGCCTGCTCGCCAGCTCCCCAGCCCAGCTTGCTGGAAGCGGTTCCCAGTCGTGCCCACACAGGCCTCCCACAGAGGAGGTCCGTATAGTTGATAGCATGTAATCGATGTCTCTGTTAGGCATCTTGGCCACTTCTCAGGGCGGTGAAGGCAAGCACGGATCACATCGAAAACGGCATTCTGGTTGAGGATGTCTATGATCGTCTTGGACACCGTCGCACTCAGAAGAAATTGATGGAGAGAATGAGCGGGGAAGTAGAAATAGATCCCGAAGTCGTCACTCTTTGGGACGCACGTACCGCACTCCAAAACTGGCGCGTGAGCCTCGTGCTCCCGTCACCCAGGGAAACTTGGGTCGGCACAGCACAAGAGGTGAGAGAGTCCCTTTCTGCGAAACCTTGAATGTCGCTGCGGCCTGCGGTGGGCACTGAACGTGTTCAGTGAGAGCCGTGCTCGACGCTGTGAGCGCTCTGTGGGCGTCTAGCACTCCCGAACGGCCTGAGCCAGAAGATTATGGATAGAGAAAGATCAAGGGACAAAACACAACATGAACTGAAGATGAACTCAGGGTGGGAGAGAGAGAGAGAGAGAGAAAAAAAAAAAGAGAGGACGAGAGAGAGCAAGGGAATGGATAACGAACATGATTATGCGAATGGGAATTACCATTTTGCAAATGGAGATGGTGATGACAACAACGAGGAGCACAAGGGAACGGTGATGCTCATGTGCATGTATGGGTGCGGCGGCGTGCCACGAGGACGTTTCTAAGCAGGGCGTCGTCTGGTCGTGCAGAGAGGCGCTGGTCGTGGGGCACGAGGTACTGATTGGCATGCCGGACGCTGGCCAGAGCGAGATGGAGAGGGGTTCGGGGTGAACGCCGTTTCCCCCCTCGTCCTCCTCGTGGCCAGCCTCGCTGTCCTGCCTGGTGCGCCTCCGCCTTACCCCTCTCCGCACTCCTCCGTCCGTGCTCCCGCTCCGTGGCGCGCCC